AAGGAACTGTACAAAATCAACGCACTTGACTCAACACTTTTTCAATAGTTATAATTTGTTATTAATGTTTTACACTCGTTTACTAATAAATTTCAAGTCTTTTTTTTGTTGTTGTTGTTAAGAGATGTTTATGTTACAGATTGAAACATTTCTTACCGCGTATATTTTGCGTGTCGTGGATGGGGCAGATAATGTAGGGGTGATATGTTTATATGTACATACATGCATGTGTGTTTAGGGTCAAGGTTGCGCCGAGGGAGCCGCATCAATACACGCTCTGGATTTTAGATATATAGACACACACACTCATACGAAAGAGATACAGGCAGCCTCGGAGGCGGCAGCGGCGGCGGTGGCAGGAAAAGCTTTTATCTTTCCTTTCTCTCTCTCTTGCCATTAATGCTTTTACGTCAACTACTATGCGAGACTACGCGTAACGTTGGATGATGCTGATTCTCGCTCGAAAGCAAATGGGAGGATTAACATAAATAGCCTGAGCCACCTGAGACCTGTCCTCCGCACGCGACAACCATCTTCACCCTCTCTACCTAAACCCAACCCCACCTCACCCCTTCTTCCACTCAGCATCCAACATGCATAATTAATTTTATTCATTTACCGAAGCAGTGAATAATTTAAACGCGAATCAAATTCGAAACAGTTTTGCAAAATCACAACGGCATTTCACATTTCATGAAAAAAATAATAATTCCGGGATCCAGCGCGCTTCTTAATTGGAGTCACAACTGTTGGCTAAAAACTGGCCTGCTGTGTTTTATTGATTGGAATTCGCGACACGGTGCGGGCGGCAGCGGCGGCGGTGGCGGCGGCAGTTCACTGTGCCAGAAATCGAGTAGGGCCGCTTTTTGTGTCAAGTTCTTTGTTTCGTAAATTAATCGTTTCGCATTCAACGATTTTCTTTTCTTTTTTTTTGGTAATAACAAAAGATTAATTAAAACGAATCACGGAAATACAAACTCATGATTGTCCAAATTGACATATGTAAAGAAAACAAATGAAATTTCACTATTTCAAAACAAATAAACAAAGATACATTTTCACATGACTTTTTAAATGATTCATTTACATGTTACGACTTCATAAAAATAACCAGAATCTCAATCTAGATGACATTTAGAGCTAACATTACTTTTAAGTGGCGACAAATTAACTGTGAAATAAAAATAGAAATGTTCGTGTTTATGCAACAAATTCTATAAGTAAAATCAAGTTTTCTTTTGTAAAATTTTGTTAAGAAATACTGATGTTTTCATAAGCAATATTTTGAAGTAACCAAAATTTTCTTGTATTTTATTAGTACATTGTCGAAAGAGGTTCCAAAGATCAGCGTTGGTGACAACACCGACACCAGACGATGATGACGACGACGACTGGGACGACGATGAGGATTCAAGCGAGATCGACGACGACAGTAAAATTTACAAGAACCCCCGGAATTCACCGTCGACATTGTGTCCGAGGGACGAAGAACAGGCCACTCTTTTGGTAAATACAAACAAATAAACAAACAAACAAACAAACAACTTACGAACTGAAACTTATCGATTTTGCAGCGCCAAAAGTGTCTGAGGAAATGCTCCTCCGACGAAGACTGCAAAAGTAAAAAGAAAAAGTGTTTGTGCGACGGAGCCTGCGGAATGTCCTGCATAAAGCCAGGTAAATTCGCCCACTCCTTCGACGTTTTTCACTCCGGGAGTTTTCTGCGCATAATTATGGAAATTTTTTCAGTGTAATGAATAAATCTTGTATCCTATGATACATAATATAGATGCAAATGAACTGTAGCATCTTCAAAATGATTAATTTACGGAATTAATTGGGTTAACGTTAAATATTCATACAATTTCAATTGTAGTCTAGACTTACGTACAATAATAAATATCAATAAAGTTCACTTCATATTGAAAAAGAGACTTTAAAAATATTGTCTTTACAACATATTATGTCATGGTATAAATAACCTTGACTCGATTAGTTTGAACTTTACATACTTCTATGCTTTCTAGTACGCTTCATTCAACAATTTCCTTTCATTAGAGATCACTCACTTTGAGATCTAAATGTTTCTATTTTGCACAAATCGTGTAAACTTTTTCCTGATGCTAAAGTAAAAAAGTTCGAGTTCTTTCATTTCGGTCAGTTTGATGTTGTTGTTGTTTTTTTCTTTATTAGATAGAGAATGTGCGGATCCAGAGGAAATCCAATTCGGGTCAGTTTCGACGACGGGAAAACTGTTCGGGGCGAAGGCTATGTACTCATGTCAGCACGGTTATCACGTAGTCGGACTGCAGAGCAGGACGTGCCAGGCGGACGGTCAATGGGCGGGAAGTGCTCCAGCCTGCAAGCAGAACAGTAAATCATCTCTCATCTCATCCATTATTATTATGATTGCATTATGGTTGGTGGTTGGGGGGGAATCTCATCGCATTTATCTCTTCTGAATTTCACAGTTTACTGCCTGTCGCCGCCCACCATTGATCACGCCAGACACAAAGCCCTTGCAGAACAAACCACCTTCGATCTGGACACGCAGCTCCTCTACTACTGTCACACCGGCTACGTTACGAACGGATTCAACAAGGCCAAATGTTTGGCTTACGATGGACAGGCCTCCTGGTACGGCCCGGACATCTCTTGCGAACGTAACTATCCGTTTTGCATCCGATCTCTTCATACATTGATCATACATACACACACCATCTTTCTATCTATCTGTAGCAAGATCGTGCGGTCCACCCACAGACATCTCTCACGGTTGGCACGCTGGAGAGTGCTACACGTATGGCTGCAGGATCAACTACCACTGTCCGGATGGATTCGAACTTGTAGGTCGTAATGAGAGGTTCTGTCAGGCGGATGGCACTTGGTCACCTAAAGAACTTCCCACCTGCGTATGTAAGTTATAATTACCTTACTTTTCTCTACATCCATCCCTACATCTCCTTCAGAATTAGTGAAAAACTTTTTTGATTACAATTATTTTATTTCTAGGTATATGTCATATGTCTTGCGAAAAGGCATAGACAAAATACTCTAATTCAATGTACTTTCAATCGTATCTTTTACTGCAATTTACTGTATGTATATATATTGTTGTTGAAATAAAAAGATTCAATTCAAATTAAATATGCTTGTTTTCTCATTATTTACCGATAAATGATCTTTCTAACAATGTTTTATGTTTTATTTGGTAATTTTATTTGGCAGTAAATTTAAAATCAAACGACATGAATTCAAAATTCGATTCATCCTAAAGTTAATTAATATGGGATGTTTCATTTGGTAATGTTTTTTTCGTTTTTCTTTTTGTGTTGCAGTGGTAACCGCGGTTCAGTGCACACCCCCAGAGAACCCCCGTCACGGTAAGGCAATTTACACGTCATGCAGCTACAACTCGGTGGTCAGTTACGAGTGCAAATATGGTTATCATTTGCTGGGTGAAACGACGCGTCGCTGTGGAGCGGACAAGAAGTGGTCGGGTGCTCAACCAGTATGTAAAGGTAATGATGATGATGATAACATCGTCCGGTTTTTCTTTCGTCTTAATTTTCTCTCTCTCTCTCTCTCTCTCTCTCTCTCTTATCATTCTTCCGTAGTCGTTCCTTGTTGTATTGTTGTTGTTGTTGTTTCCTTTTCGGGTTTTTCTTTTTGTTGGTATAAAAGGCTTTTCTTTTCATTGCGTGCATGCGTTTAGAGATAAACTGCGGCCATCCAGGACGTCTGTGGAACGGATGGCTGGAGAACATTGAAGGGGGTACAGGCCTTGGCGCATCCATTATATTCAGGTGCCACGAGGGAATGAAGCTGCTGGGCCACTCGTCCACCGTCTGCCAAATCGACGGGAAGTGGAGGTATCAATTGCCGCAATGTCTGGGTCAGTAATTTCTCAAAGTAACTCTTCATTCCTTCCTTCCTTCCGCATGCCAAGCAGCTTCTGTTGTTAATACATACATCTCTATACGCATACGTACACATGAAAATTGTTTGATTTCCATCCGATCCGTGAATCTGCTTCAGCCCCGTGCGTCGTTCCGCAAGTGTCGCAGGGAAAAGTGACCTTAGTTTCGAAGAATGTATCGATGAACTCTACCGTCGTCCAGCACGGCGAATCTCTGACTGTCGAATGCGACGCGCAGTACGAGTTCTTCGGAAGTTACGCTCCGGTCACCTGCAACAACGGAACCTGGACGCAGATCCCGAAATGCCAGCCAGCCAGATGCAAACATCTACCGAAATCTCCGAAAAACGGAATGGTCATCGCTCCCAAGATGGAGCACGGCATGAGGGCGCGCTTCAAGTGCAAGGACGGATTCGTCCTTAAGGGGGGCGAATTCGTCGAGTGCTCTTACGGAAATTGGACCGGAGAAAATCCGTCTTGCCAGGAAGGTAAGTAACGTCGCGTTTCTTCAACGTATATAATAATCACAATTTTCCATAAGTCTACTGTCCGTTTCCCGGTTTCGTGGAAAACGGGAAAATCCTGTTGGTCGGAAACATGGGCCTGTACGATTACCGGCCGTACGTCAGGAAAGTTATCAACAATAAGCAGATCATGTACGACTGCGATAAGGGTTACATCCTTAACGAAGGACCACCGGGTGCGACGTGCATCGGTGGCAATTGGAGTCCGAAGCAATTACCAAAGTAAGACACATCCACTATCAATACGCATTACACATTATTATTTAATCATATTTTAAAAGTGTATTGTTATTATTATGAAATCGTTTGTGTCAGGTGTGTAATAGGGCAGCATCCGAGATTGCGGTGGAGTCGCCGCAGGAGATCGATAGTGACGGAAAAAATTCGTAGGGCTTATTTGCGTCACTCGAACCACACTAGCCAACCAGAATATAGACCGCCGACGTATTTAGAAGAACTCTTCCAGGTCACACTTGGGGAGCTGAAAGAGAGAAACGAGATTTACAATCGGTTGAAGCGAGCTCTGAAGGGCACCTCCAGCACTCGAACGGTAAGTCTGAGCAGGAAAGGGAGCGGATCCTCGTTGAACGCGCGTAGAAATCACAAGAAGCAAGATTGGGACGACGATGACTATCAGAAGAAGAAAATGGATAGCAAAAAGGGCGCTCCTTGCGATCCATTAAGCAGCGAGCCGTACGTGAACATCGAGATCATCAAACACGGAAAGGATCCGAACGTCTCTTTCAGCTCTGGGACGGTGGTGAAAATGGCCTGCGGCAAAGGATACGGACTGAACTTGTCCGAGAATAAAACGGCTAGATGCGTGAGGGGAAAGTGGAAACCGCAGCAGCCGGTCTGCTCAATTCGTAAGGTGAAAACTAAACGGTTTTTGCTCATTTGCTAATCCATACATCCGTCCGTTTCATTAGTGCCTTGCCACATTCCGGAAATACCGCACGGCCTCTTCCACTTGGCCAGGACCGAGATTATAGTCGGATCCACTCCGAAAGTCATCGCCGAGGAATTGAACGATACAGCTCCGATTACCAACGGGGATGTGGTCGAGTTTAGCTGCGAGAGAGGCTACAACGTGCAAGGCTCCAGCAATCTGAGGTGCTGGCACGGCGAGTGGACGGCAACGGCGTTGCCCGAATGCACAGCAGGTACTTCTGACCCTCCTTTCAATTCACATATAACAATTACATTTCTATTTTCCATGTTACTATGTATGGACTTGATGTGCACAAACAGCCCCTTGCCAGCTGCCGGAAATTGCGAACGGTCAATACTTGAACGGATACCGGGCGGGATTAACGATTTCGAATGGATCTGCGGTCACATTCCAGTGCGATAGCGAATACAGCAAATCCACTGCACAGCCCATCGAGTGCGTTTTGGGCCAACTGTTTCCGCGTAGTCCTGCATGTAGGGCAAACTCGTCGTTGCCAGGACCGGACTCTCCGCATTACATGGGCGGAACGGATATCATCAAGGGTGGAGACATCACCGAATTGGAGTACGGAAGCACCAAATCTTGTGGACCTCCTGCCAAGTAATAATCATCGTCGTCGTCGTCGACGTCCACAATTTGGGCAACGATTAATCGTCTTTTTTTCTGTCATTCTTATCTTCTTTTAGGGTTCAAGGGTCGCTCATTTACCGGAACGGCGAGCCCTTGGTGGAAGATGAAAGGAACTTTCCGCACAATACCGAAGTCACGTTCAATTGCATCGAGAGCATAATGGGCGAGAAGAACACTTGGCGAATCGTCTGCGAGGATGGCAGTTGGATCGGAAGGTCTTTGAATTGTGGTGAGTATATCATCATAATTCCAATAGCCTACATATAGTATAGTTGACATAGCATGATTGCGAAAAGTTTTAGAAACACTTTTGCTATTCATAACGTTTTTATTGCTCCATGTATTATAATTATCTGTGCAACTTTTCCGTGCGCAGAAAAGTAGCTCGTTTCCACGTATGGCCTTGAATATATGAAAGATCAATACAATTCCTTTCGTCGCGAATTTAATTTCATTTTATTATGCCGTAGTTTCAGTTTAAAATGAACATTTAAGATAACAATTCAATTCAAAATTTAATCTACTATGGAAGTCCTCTGAGCGTTGGATCCAATTACTTTTAACACGCAGTAATCGAGTTGGATCGAGGCAAACGCTCGCAAACTAAATTATTTTCAAATTTTTAATTGATTGATGATCAATAATACTACAGCAGATGTTGAAATTGCAGATTCCGATGATTTAGGCACGCCGCACATAAACAACAACAGTACATGCCTGTTTCGTAACCAGGAACCGAATGTAATTTCATTCTACAACGATCAGCAGATCCGGGAGGACATCGTCGAGTTTCCAGCTGGAGCCGTTCTGGTCAGCCGTTGCGTTGACATCGGAAAATACTCGATGATAGGTGAAACTGCGAATCTCGATCTGCAAAGATTGATCATTGATCATTTTAATGATGTAGGACCAAATACAAGAAGATGCATGGGCGGCGAATGGGACGGTCAGAAGCCGGCTTGCTTCGGATTGAATCAGGAAAACGATTATTCGATGGAGAAGCCGCCTACGATCCTTTTCAGGCATCAGCTCGGTCCGATCGCTCAGTCGAACGATGGGAAGCTGATAGTGTACCCGGGAACGATTCTGCATATGGAGTGCTTGTGGATTAGGCGATTCGGCGTTCCCAAATGGACGGTGAGCCACGATTACAGAAAATATCCGGAGGGATGGACGGAGGATCCAGGAAGAGATCCGCAACTGGAATATCGTCTATCGATTTATCACGCCTCCAAGGATGATTCTGGTACTTTTACCTGTGTAACACCAGCCAGGCACACGCATGCAGTGGAAATTATTGTCAAAGGTATATTATTATCTGCAAAATAAAAGGATAAGATTCAATTAATTATAATAATGATATTGTTATGTTATGTTGCAGCAATCCATTGTCCGGTCGTACCTCAACGTCGAGGTCTTTCCGTCAACACCCAGAGTACGAAGATGAACACGAAACTGAACTTTGGCTGCATAAATGGGAACGCGCTCATCGGTGCGCAGGAGGTGGTTTGTCTACCGTCCGGTAACTGGAGCGCCCCGTTTCCGGTTTGCGAGAGTGAGTACAACAACGAGTTTTCCGCGCTTTCCCTGCTTTTTTTTTGTTGTTGTTCTGCAGCCAGGTAGTTTGTAGGTATCGAGTGCGGTGAGGTGGGCGTCGCATTGGCGAACCATTTGCGTGTGTCGGTGGTGTCCAGGGAGGTGGGAGGTCGTGCTGTATTCAGCTGCGCCTCCGGCTTCGGACTGCGGGGCTCCCACGAAACCGTCTGTCTCAGCAGTGGTGAATGGGCAACGCCGTTTCCCACATGCGTAGGTATGTTTTCCGATATCTCCGGAGGAACACAACTATCATCAAATTATGTCCTCCAACCAACCAACCACCCACCCAATCACTGCACTCACAATCAACATCTTTCAACATCAATTCAAACTACACATGCAGCAAACCCTAATAAAAGTTCCCAAACTCTGCTTCAAATATATAATCATAATCATTTACGTGTGCCCTTTTCAACGATGTTCTTGCAGAGGTTCAGTGCGATAGTCCGGGAGCGCCGGAGAATGGTTATATGCAGGGTAATGGACCGTTCAAAGCGGGAGACGTCGTCCAATTCAACTGTAATCCAGATTTTATGATGGAAGGTCAACCGATCATCGCGTGTCAGGATAACGGCCGTTGGTCCGGTCCATTGCCAAAATGTTAGTCAAACTGTAACAACAACAACAACAATAACATTTATTATATATTTCTTTCTGTCTTTCTTTCTTTCGTTCAGGCGTGCAAGCTTGTTCTTATCCAGGAACCACAATCAGCGGACGGATGTCAGCTGTGAAATTCTATTACAAGATTGGCGAGAACATAACGTTTACCTGCGACGAGGGGCACGATTTACGTGGCGCAGCGATGCTGAAATGCCTGAGGAATGGGAAATGGTCGAACGCGATACCGAATTGCATCATCGACGAAGCCACCACCACCACCGCAACCATCAAGAAGCGGTAAACTAATTGCTGCCCCAGTAATATAATTAATACATCCACGATATATACATTATACGGTGTGATTGAAACACACGCAAAACTATGTACGCTATATTAATATTTCACAACAATTTGTAAAAATTATAAAACGTTCTCTCGAAGTTGAATGCAAAGTTTAGAAATTGTACATGGAAATGCAAACAGTATTGTATAGTTTTATCGATCAAAATGTTTGTAAAGTAAATCACACTGTATATGTATGTACAGGAGGAGGAGGGAGTGAGTGAGTTTGTGTACATAGCGAAAGTCGTCCATTAGAATACACGGTTATAACGCACACGATGATGATATATACACGCACATAATAGGGGGATGTTGTAATCCGAACTGTATTGTATGTACTCTTAACTAAACTTAATTAATTTTTGATTGACTACGCAAACATATCTAAATGTTAATTTATCGAATAATTATTACTATGTACTGCAGAAACCGAGTCAGCAGAAATCTAAGTTTATTTAATTACGTTTTTTTTAGATATTTAAGGAAATATATAAATAAATATTTACAAATCAACTTTCATCTTAAATACTTATTACCATTTCCCCAATGCCATTTCCACTTATATCAATTTCTTCGATTCACAAATTATGTTGATTTGACCTGTTCGAAGGCATGTCAATTGAGTGATCAGCAATAAGTTTCTTTCTATCCCTTCGAAGAACTTAAATATAGTTAGTCGAATAGCACTTTCATGATTTCTTATTGAAACTATAATTCATCAATCTATATTATTGTTTATTAGACTTACTTTGATTTTGAACCTAATCAGCAGTTGGCACTTTGTAATGCGTCCGCATGGGTACACGCCAATTTTCCGCGGTGGGTGGGGGTGGTTCAGTCATGGTCAGTCATCCGGTCAACAGCGAGTCGGCGTGCCTTCTTCCCTTTTTGAATATTCAAACTTGTTGTGCAACTCTTCCAAATCCTCTGAACTTTCCTGTGATTAGCGAACACCATCATCCGAGATCACAATCCAATTGGATTTTGGCCAATTGACAGTGAGTAATCCGTGTTCTTAACAATTATCTACACTCGCGAAATTCACACTAGGATTTTATTGAGCTTTTCATTATCATTGATAATTAATATAATTACTTGCGTTGTGTTGATTCACTAATGACTACGCGTCCAAAATGGCGACGGTGGAGAGGGGTTGCTTGCGTTTTTATCCTATTTGACATATTTAGCGAAGATAGCAACAATGCATTTTTGTTGCAAAAAAAAAAAAAAACGACGTGCCTGGAAGCGGGTGGTACTATTGTGGCGTCCCCACGCCACAGTTGTGCGCGTCCCTTTCTTAAGTCAACATCGATCCAATTATGAATGGATTTTCATCAGTTTTCAACGGAAATCGGCGGCAAGGAAAGCCGCAGTTCCGAGCAAGTTTGATGATTCCGATGAACCGTGAGTAATTCAATACTTTATTATCAAATTATTAAAAAGAAAAATCATTGTTACTGTTGTATATATGTATTTGTTATATATGGATGCAAGGTATTGTAAATACCAGGTCATTCTATGCATTTAATCACGTTCGCAGTGATTTGCATGGAATGGCAAGACCGTCTGTGCTAAAACCTTCTCGAGGTGCATCCGTTAAGGTCGTTGCTCCTATCCGAAA